CTATTATACATAATTAGTTCAATTATCACTAGAGATTATCTCATTACATTAAATCTATATGATGGATTTAAAGTTTATTTGGCCTAATAAATAAATACTTGAGATAAGTAAAAAAAAAAAAATGATCTGCTGTTAGAACTTGAACAATTTATAAATTTTGAAGAAATTTTAACCATTCTACTATAAAGATTTCTTTGTTAATTTGTGAACAAAAATAACTTTTACATAGAGAAACTATTAAACAAGAAAAAAAAAAAGAGGAGAAAAAAAAATTCCTTATGTCCTGATTGTAGCGGAATTTCTAAAATTGCAAATAAAGAAAAATAGGAAGAGACATTTGCTTACTATCTTTTGTAAGAATTTGAATAATGAGAGATCCTATTTTGCTTCAGTAACCAAATGTCTCTTTCCGTTTTTCTTTATTTGCAATTTTAGAAATTTCACTACAATCATGACATAAGGAATTTTTTTTTTCTCCTCTTTTTTTTTTCCTGTTTAATAGCTTCTCTATGTAAAAGTTATTTTTGTTCACAAATTAACAAAGAAATCTCTATAGCAGAATGGTTAAATTTTTTTCAAAATTTATAAATTATTCAAGTCCTGACAGTGGATCATTTTCTTTAAGTCTCAACTATATCACATCCATCATGCAATTGTAATAGGATGCCCTGACCTAATTTTCCATTTTTTTTTCTTTTGATCTTTTCTGTTTTATTATTCGCATCAACTCCAGTTGTTAAATTTATCTTTTCACATATTTAGCTTCCTGGTCGCAAATTTGCTGGGAATTAGAAAAGAAAGGTGCTCCTATATTTCTAACTTCTATTACTATTATTTTAGTTGTGTTTTTGTTTTAATTTTTTAAAAATCAGACTAATTTGTTTATAAAACGAGATTTGTGTGCTCAAATTTTATAATCTGACATTTTTTTGGATCCTTCAATAATCTAACAATAAATATTTGTATTTTTTTTAGGTTGAAATACAAAAACGTATTTATTCTTAGGATTTAATTTTAGATGGAATTTTGAAATTAAATTTCTATAACTATTAATTATATGGGTCACTACTGGAAAACGCGACATATGCGATAAGATTATATTCGACAACCATATTTCTGACGAAAATGTGTACATAACCGACAGAAAGATTGACGAAGATGTAAAATTAACGATGATAATGGAAACTTCTGGTTTAATCGACAGTCTTCATTTTCGGCAACTTTTTTGTCGACTATATAGACATATTCGACAGAAAATTTCTGACGAATGTGTTTATTCGTCAAAAATTTCTCGTCGAATATGTATGGCAACATAATAAGCTCCAGTATGTTAGGCAACGACATCGTTTCCTCTGTATATTCAGCAGCTTTGGCTGTCGAATATACTGGTTCATATCACCCACACCTCTCCTTTCTTCCCTGTTTCTGCTTCTCCCTCTGCGGCGGTAGATCTAGTTTCTTCTCCAACGAAGTTTGCTGTCGCTGTTCTTCCGTCGCACCCCCTGTTCTCCGCTCCGCGCCAGTGCCAGTGAGTTCGCCCCTCTCTTGGTCAATTGATTGATTTATTTTTGCATTTATTTTCCTTGGATTAATTTACAATTGGCACATTGCATTGTTCTTTGTTGATCCTTGCCTTTTGGTCCAGCCTCCAGCATCTCTACGCAACCACACGACGTGGAGGAGGTTTCTTGGAAGTTGCAGCACAGTTGGAATTGCCAAAATTGGAATCACCACGTGTCGAATATGTTGTTGGTTATAATAGGGTCCACCAAAAAAGTCCGCCAAAATTGGAATCGCGCGGGCCTGAAATTTTTAAACATTATAATCGACAGAATTTCTGTCGAATATATTC